AGTATAACAGAACAAATGTACATTGCCCTCCCCTGCCCACCCACAGTGAAGCTCTCCATTCTGCAAAAAAAAAAAAAGAAATACTTTACACAGTTAGTTGATAAAATTGTTAGATGATTCTCTGTAACATATCTGAGAGGAATATTGACAACCAGAGTGTTTCAGTGATTTTTTTGTTCTCTTATAGAAAAGGCTGATTACAAATGTCTTTACATGATAAACCACATTTAATGTTACCACACCTCTGAGTTCTTTACAGTCATGTCAAGGGGACTTGATGCGGAAGAAGGGTAAATAATAAAAGTTCCCTCTCTGCATGGCAAACAAAAGGTTCCCCTTTCTGTTTCAAGAATACTTTACATATCAACCTCATTTTCTCAAACTTCTTGCAGCCATAAGATGCTTAAGATTTCTTTAAAGGCATATTTGGTCAAAGGCCTCTTCAGGATCTCTCAGGGACTTATGAAAGCACTGGTTTCAGCTACTAGTACACTGAGCACCACAGGAGAGGGATTACATAACCAGTGACAGCCCTAAGCAGCTGATGCATAACCACAGCAACTGTCCTGGTGTGTTGCTGACACAGTAGGTATGAGTTGGAAAGAAGATGAGTGGACAGGAAAAACCGTGGGTCACCGGTCACATTGGTTTTTGATCTGGTCTATTTGATCTTTTGTCTGTCAGCTAGGAACCACCCTCTTTGGGTCAGTAAGTTACTTTTGTTTTTGTATGGATGATGCTTGTTCTATGTACATTGAGCACAGTAACAAGCAGTGCTCTGAACCAAATTCTTGAACTGTTGTGCGTAGTTTGGGTTGTCTAACCCTTCCAGAACTACTGGCTCATATCCTAATCAACAGGATTTAACATTGTAACCCCAACATGCTAGAAGAGATAGTGTTCCAGCCTGCAATTTGTGTCACAGATGAAAAAACACGCAATATAGCTTTTTTTTTTCTTTTTTTTCTGTTGCTATGCTCTTGCTACAATGATTTCTATTTGAGAGTTGTGCTTTTTTCTGACAGTGAACACACTTTGTGTTCAAGGTTTGGTGTTGAAGAAAAAAAAATGTTGGAACATGAAACACTACGAACATCTAGCCACTCGTGGTTTCTGGAAGCCACCAAGTTTCTGCTGAGACAGATTTATAGTCAAGTAAATTGTGATCATCTCACACTCAAAGAGAATCTGTTTCTATGTTGCTGTGGCCAAGTACAGATGGGTTTCTGACCTCAGAAATGCAAAATTTACTTTCATATAAAAAAAAGACTTTGGACAACTGAGCAACTTTCCAGTTGTTTCTCTTCTTAGCCCAGGTAAGATGCTTCTGATGTTATTGGGTGTTCAGGAGTGGACTGACGATAGTAATTCGACACTTCCTAGTATCCTATTTCCTGGACACGTCGAGGCATGGTGGCTCCGGATGCAGTCCACTTCTTGTGAATCTTCTCCACATTCTGGAATCTGCTTTTCTTAATAATTCTCTCAAGTTTACTGTCATCCCTTTCCATTTATATGCTTTGATACAGCCCTCTGTGAACAGCCAGCCCTTTCAGCAATGTACTTTTGAGTCTTACCCTTCTTGTGGAGGGTGTCAGTGACTGCCTTCTGGACAGCTGTCAAGTCAGCAGTCTTCTTCATGACTGTCGTTGTGTATACTGAACCAGACTGAGAAACTCAAGGCTCTTTTCAGGTGTTTTGGGTTAATTAGGTGATTGGAGCTCTTCTCGAGATTGTGTGGGAGTGTCTAGGGGTCCTTGATTGACATTTCTGTGGTGCTCTGTGAAATAGTATAAATTTGAGGCTGATTTCAGGAAGGTTTCATGAGCTGTAAGTCGTTATCACTAAAGTAAAACAAATAAAGGCTTGAAAATTTTCATTTTATGTGTACTGAATCTAAAATATATAACTCAGAAACTAACAACACTCAAGACCTCCCACCAGGAATACTCAGCAATAAATAAATACATACATACATAAATAAATAAGGCAATAGGGACTGATAATACACTTCTCAGAGGGTCACTGAGCAGATGACTCCTTGGTACCATCAGCCGTCTGGAAAGTCACTAAGTATCTTATAACACCAGACAAGTAAAACCAGGCAAAGAGCTAAAATATCTCTGCAGCAAAGGAAACTTTGTGTAAAATGTTAATTTTCTCTAGCTTTGGTATGACCCATCAAGAAAGGGTTAAACATAGTTGGAGTCCAGGTATCATAGAGAATGTGGTTATTTTAATGTCTTTGTTTATTTTTAGTAGGCACCCTGCAGTCAAACTGTACCCTAATCTCCAAATTTAACTCAAAATCATATTTTGGAAATATGTTGACCTTTGATTGATAGGTTTCAAAAACCCACATCAGCTCATCAAGCCACAGATTGACCTAATAAGGAACAGCATCCCTGCAGAAAGTAGAATGCCTGTGCTAATTTTGTTCTGTGGCCCCGCTGTCAAATCTCAGATGGTCTATCTAGTCTACAACTCCACCTGCTGTTTTTCCACAACACCAGTCTTGTTGTGTTTATGGTCCCCTTGTAAACTGCTATTTTGTATTTCTGTAGACAAGAGAATTTGAATATGATAAACAAATGGTGAAACCCCTGCTATTATAATTAACAGTAGTCAATAAAAAGAGGGAAGTGAGTCTCAGATTAATCTATAAATTCACTAATGATGATTTCTAACTGCTTTAGCACTGACAGATGTCCTGCCTGTATGATGAAACTGCAGACATCAAGAACAACCACTACTGCACTACACATCATTAGATTCTTAAAGCAACAGTCTGACACTTAAATATGGTATACTCTAATTAGTATAATTATTTATCCAGATTCAAAGGGGTATTGCCTGTATTAAAATAAATGTTTTTAAAAAAAATTATATCACCTTTGATTTCACATGCAGTACACTGATTACACTTAGCTGGGAAAAAAGTCACCAAAAGCATCAAAACTAGCAGCAGACGGTCAAGAAGTATCCTGGAGGGATATCCTGGTACCGGTCCTCTTCAACAGGTCGTCAAACTGGATCCGGGTCGGTTGAAAATAGTGCTGGAAGCGGCCGTCATCCAGGCGCAGCTCCTGGAGAAGGTGGTGGAATTCCCTGAGATATGTGCATCTCTGGAGGATCTGATGGACCCAGACACGGCGGTGTCTGGATTCATGTCATTTACGACTCTCTCCATGTTTAACGCGCGAATGACGTGAATTTAGACACAAATCTCTCCGCGTTTAATGTGCGAATGACGCAAATTATTTGCTCGAATGAAGCAAGTGAACTCAGTGCATACATGCGTCCAAATTCGCACGAATCGCACGATGAATTCGCATCTGTTAAGAACAGCATAGTCTCTGATCAGACTCTGTGTTGGTGTAGTATGTCCAAATCTGATTTGATTTGAAATAAAAATATTTCAGTCATACCAACTGCTGTGCAGTTTTGTACCATTTTCATGTTGCTGTTCAGGTTCTAATGACATTGTTTAGCTTGGCTAGTCTGAGCTGCTTAAACAAGGATGAAGAAATAGTCTTTGTTATATATAATACAATAATTTTTTTTTTTTAAATACTCACCATAAATGTATTATAACACGGCATTAATCGCACCACTCCACTTCATTTTGTTGTAACTTTTTACAGCGCTTCCGGACCTGGCACTAAAGAAATTCAATTGAAACTAGAAAAGTCCTCAGAGAGTGCAGACCTTCACCAAGCAGCTCATTTCCACCCATACTGTGATTTCCAGCCAAAGTTAAAGTCCTGCATTCATTTGATCTACACTATTAGATTTATGCAGAATCAGAACGGTTGTTCTGTACTCTCAAATATTTTGTACACTTACGTTATTTCTGCAGTTCCTTAATGGCTTTAAAGCTGTTAGCTAACACTATGCTAGGTTGGCATAACTACAGCAATGTTATTGCTTACATAAATAGACAGGGAGTAACTTAAGCTAGGTTAGCACAACTGTAGCAATGCATAGTAAATAAAAAGCAAGACCGACGCAACAAAGCACGCATCAGTCGTCATAACACATGTCAAAGAGAGTTAAAGTGAAACAGGAGACATGTTGAGTCATTGTTAATGTCACATCATTATGAACTTATCTGTCAGTAGCTCCGCTCAGCCCACTCCTGTAATGCTGCCCGGCTTTAGCTTACTCCTGCACTACTGAGAAGACAGCGGTGAGGACTGAAGGACTGAATGGAGTCAGAGCTCCATCTAGTGGACAAACGGCACAATGACAGCATTCTGTGCGACTGTGACACTTAACAGCATTTAGTGTTTTATGAGAAAATAACCAGATGGTAAGCCAGAACATCACCAAAATTAAATCATCATTCATTGTGCCATTATCAACATTTTCTGAAAATTTAATGAAAATCTGTTCATAATTTTTCGAGTTATGTTGCTAACAAACAAACCAACAAACCAACCAACAAACAGATAAACGCTGGCTAAAACATAACCTCCTTGGCAGAGGTAATAAACTGAACTGAATTAACACAAAATACAGAAATAGTAAGACCACTAAGAGTCAGTGGAGGAGAAACATTTACTCGAAGGAGGAAGGCTATTCTAAAGCTTTGAAACTGCCACTACAGAGATACAATCTTAGTCCCCCATCAGCCTCCACTGTCAACAATTACTGGTAAAAGCAGTTGTTCTGAGGCTCCAAGAGGCCTTCAGATGAGTACGGGCAGAGAATCTCTAAAATACACCTAAGTGCCATGGTTTTAGAAACAAACAGACTCTGCAGTAGAGACCCAGTACTGCCTTACACATCTAATGAATCAGTGACACAATTTTTAAACTATTAAAGTTTCTACTTGTAACTTCCTCTTTCATCGTGTGTCCTCCTCTCTCTAAATTAATTGATTTCACTCATTGACTCCCTTTGTTTGTTGCGTTGTGTGATTTCCGGAGGGTCATGAAGGCAGCATATCACTGAACAGCCGTCAGCTGACGGAGCGGTCACGTGACATCACACAGGCGCAGGACAGCGTGGACGTAAACAGCCTGAGCACCTTTTCACAGAGCTCAGCTTGGTTTTCTTGGTCTCCGGGTTTGTTTCTTTTGTTTTCACGGTCAGCATGGCTTGGACAAAATACCAGCTGTTCCTCGCGGGACTCATGCTCACAACTGGCTCCATCAATACATTGTCGGCTAAGTGAGTAGATTGAATTATGCTTTTCTCCTGTGTCATGTGTCCATGGTTAGAGGAGCTAGGTCACACCAGTAACACTCTGAAACCAAGCTGGACCAGGATTTTACCAATATGTGTATGGCACTTTACTGTATTGTCTGTTAGTTAATTATTTAGTTAAGTTTAATAAAGCAATTCGTTTATTGCGTTTATCCTACAAAGTATTAGCATGCACCGTAGCTGTGTGTAACTTGTAGCTGGAGATGCTGTATCATAGTTTTCTTGTTAGTTGATAAACAGCAAATTAACGACTGGATCATTTGCAAGCTGTACAAGGGACTACTATAACCAGAAGGGTGATAAGAAGCTATATTTTTCTGTTTTTGGGCATCTGCTTGGTGTGTGTGGACAGACATTGAGGTTATTTACATGATGAGGTTATTTACATGATAAGGCTGCTGACAGGAAGCAGCTGCTGATGGGATGAAACGCCTCATGCATCTAATCATGAGTTATCAATACTGATCAAACTCGCTTTGATGGAGTATCACTCAGGCCTTTAAGTCCTGTGAGAGGTTCACTCATCGTCTTGTTCATCCCTTTGTGTAGATCAAAGGTCGACACAACGGCTTGTGTGACAACTAAGCTATCACATTTTCGGACTGCAACTAACCACTTTTAATTCTCATTTGATCTCAATGGGCACTGTTTGACATGTTCCTTGATACATTACGAAATATTAGGTGAATCTGAAAATGACTGGCAGTGTTCTGTGGGTCAACAAACGCATCAGCCTAGGTTTTAATATGGCTCTTTATATATTTCATTAAATAGTAATAATCATATAATAATGGCGAAGATGAGTGTATTGTATAGCACCTTTAGAAAACAAAAGGTTTACACACAGAAAACAATGAAAGAGCGAGAAGTGGATAAGCTAAAGAAAATATTTATATATTAAAAATACCCACCAGTGTATGTGATGTAATGCTTTTTTAGCAAAATGTTTAGCAGTCACATTCTGCGCTACTTGGAGCCTTAGAAAAGACTGTTGCAGTAGTTTAGATGATGGCAAGACAAAGGCATGTTACTGCATCTTTAAAAGGCGAAAATAGTCAAATCGCAAAAACATCTTTCATTTCTGTTGATGTGATAGTCAGTCATTGGGGCCTTGTGACAAAATCAATCATGCAAAATGAATCATACCACAGTTAACCACATTAACCATATGGTCTTTAAATGATGTCTTTAAATAGTTTGTTTTGCTTGGCGAAGAGTCCAAAATGCAAACATGTTTATTCTACTGTTTATAGAAAGCTTTAACTAAGCCTTAGATTTGAGAATCAGAGAATGTTTGGTATTTATCACATTATCAAAATAAATGTTGATTACATTTAAGTCCTCTCCAGTTGTCACGATAGGAAGAGGTTTGTCGTTTTAGTGGAACAAGAAGTCAGCTTTTTTACTTCTCCAATAATTTGCGATGTCAGCTTTTAAAGCCAGACACACAAACTGCTCTGTCCTTATCTGGATTTTGGTAAGCTAAACAAAACTCAAATCTGCCAGCATCACAGTTTTTGTGTAATCTGTTCTGTGCTAATCTGTCAGACAGCAGTCAGACATAGTCACTAACAGGTAATGTTTCACAGCAGTCAATTGAAAGTAGCCCAACACAGTGACGCCTCACTGCTTTGGAAGCCCTACTGCTAAGATCAGTTACAGCTTGTATGTTGATAGTTTAGGTGCAACTTCCTTCTTTTCTTTCATGCAACCATGCACCATGTAAAGATTTTTAATCAAAAGCACTCTGACCACAATAAAAAGGATAGGAATAGCAGGTTTGGATCAGTCAACAGGCCGACTCTAGTTGCCTTTTGTTTATTGATGAACTCAGACGTTTGAGAGAAGTGTTTTAAAGAAGTGTTGTGTCATCACTTTGGGAGACCACAGTCTCATTTCTTGCACATTGAGGCAGACAGAATGCTCACATGCCAGTCATGCTCTTTTTGAATAGAAAAATCAAAGGTTTATGACGACTTAAGCAATCATTGACTAGAAAAATGAAAAGCAATGTCATCAAGTTATTTAGTCTGACTGTGCAGTGTTTCTCTGGCCTCCATAGTGATAACAGGTCACACTGAAACAAATGTGCTGCATTTAAGGAGAAGCAAAACTCATTTACACATCATTACATTTGATACAGTTATTGCTCAAATCCAGGCATAATGTGAAAGAATCCAACATAAGAAAAGGATTTGTAATGCGTTTGTCACTTTTTTCATTGTGTATTTGATCACTGAAAACAGAAATAATGTCAAAGACACATATGTCATGGTGTCCAATATAATGGGTGCTGAAACAGAAACATCAAGCAGAGATGAAGGTATGTGACGTAGATAAACTAATCTGCTCAGAGTTTTATATACAGTTAGTTCCATAAATATTCGGACAGAGACAAAGTTTTTCTAGTTTTGGTTCTGTACAGTACGACAATGAATTTTAAATGAAACCATTCAGATGCGGTTGAAGTGCAGACTTTTGGCTTTGATTCAGTGGGTTGAACAAAAAGGTTGCATAAAAATGTGAGGAACTAAAGCATTTTTTAAACACAATTCCTTCATTTCAGGGGCTCAAAAGTAATTGGACAAATTAAGTAACAGAAAATAAAATGTTCATTTCTTATACTTTGTTGAAAACCCTTTGCTGACAATGACTGCCTGAAGTCTTGAACGCATGGACATCACCAGACACTGGGTTTCCTCCTTTTAATGCTATGCCAGGCCTGTACTGCAGCGGTTTTCAGTTGCTGTTTGTTTGTGGGCCTTTCTTTCCAACAGTATGTCTCTGAACACTTCAGAATTCATCCGACTGGTTCTGTCCTGTGTTACATCATCAATAAACACAGTGATCTAGTGCCACTGGCAGCCATGCATGCCCAGGCCATCACACTGCCTCCACCATGTTTTACAGATGATGTGGTATGCTTTGGATCATGAGCTGTACCACGCTTTCTCCATACTGTCTTCTTGCCATCATTCTGGTAGAGGTTGATCTTGGTTTCATCTGTCCAAAAGAATGTTCTTCCAGAGCTGTGCTGGCTTTTTTTCTTTAGATGTTTTTAGCAAAATTCAATCTAACCTTTCTATTCTTGAGGCTTATGAGTGGCTTGCACCGTGTAGTGAACCCTCTGTATTTACTCTCATGCAGTCTTCTCTTTATGGTAGACTTGGACAATGACACGCCTACCTCCTGGAGAGTGTTTTTAACTTGGCTGGCTGTTGGGCAGGGGTTTCTCTTCACCATGGAAATGATTCTGCCATCATCCACCACTGTTGTCTTTCATGGATGTCCAGGTCTTTCTGCGTTGCCAAGTTCACCGGTGCTTTCTTTCTGTCTCAGGATGTACCACACTGTAGATTGTGCCACTCCTAATATTGTAGCAATTTCGCAGGTGTTTTTTTTTCTTCTGTTTTCGCAGCTTAAGGATGGCTTATTTCACCTGCCTGGAGAGCTCCTTTGACTGCATGTTGTCCTCACAGCAAAATTTTCCAAATGCAAGCACCACTCCTCAAATCAAATCCAGGCCTTTTATATGTTTAATTGGTAATAACATAACAAAGGACTTGCCCAAACCACACATGAAATGGCCTTTGAGTCACTTGTCCAATTACTTTTGGTCCCTTTTGAAATAGAGTGGCACATGTTAAGGAGCAGAAACTCCTAAACCCTTTATCCAATTTGAATGTGGATACCGTCAAATGAAAGCTGAGAGTCGGCACTTTATGTCCATGTCCATTATATAACTATAATTGAAATATGTTTCATTAAACAGTTAAAAAAAATAAAATAAAAAACTTGTGTCAGTGTCCAAATATATATGGACCTAACTGCATGTAGTTTATTTTTGACTGATGGGAATCTGCAACAGGTATGGCATGCCATGTGTGTTTGTAATATGGGTTGTAAGTATAAACGGAAGGGTTAAGAAGAGACTCATGGTCAGAATGTCACAGCAAGTGAAATCCTTTGATGGGAACTACTTGATGTGCAGATCTTTTTTTTTTTTTTTTACTTTGCCTATTGTTTGAAATTTCCACAATTGAGATGCAAAAATGTCTTTGTATTTGACAGATGGGCTGACATGTTTACAGCAAGGGGTTGCCATGATGACCCTGAACATACGTTCTCGCACCCATTTGTTCAGGTATAGTAGTAAACAGCAGAGACTTTTTTGTTTACTGTTTTATTTTAACTCAACTGTGTGTTGGTAATAGACTGAAAAACTGCAAAACTTTCCTGGTTCTACGAAAAAATGTGCCTTTAGCAAGCATTAAAAATGATCACGTACCAAAATTTGGTCAAATTTGTAATGTTTTCTCCTTGTTGTTTGACAACATAGGTCCAGTTTTTAATAAAATTCCTGCCAATTTTCAACATATTTTTGTCTCTTGTTGGCATTTAGACCACAGGAGACTTTTGAACGGTTTCTTTTATTCGGTAAAAAATGGGTTTATAAACCAGCCCTCTTTTGCACAGGCCATAGATATGAATATGTATAGATTTTTTAAAAACATACGTTAGCATGTCAATGTGTTTTTGCAGGTCAAGTAAGTGAAAACCGAATTTAAAAAACATTTAGGTGCAAACTTATTTAAGAGGTGCTTGTCATGAACGTTTTGAGAACAAAGTGATTCATCTCAAGAGGCTTAAACTGTATACCTTGCATTTATTCAGTTTTCCATCAGAATTGTGATCTTTTGTCAGTCTGTTTCTCTCTCCTGTTCCCATGTTCCCTATCCAGGCAGTGGGGATGTTTCTGGGAGAGTTCAGCTGTCTTGCAGTCTTCTACATCTTGCTTTGCCATGACAGACGTAGTCCAGAACCCAAGATGAACACCGGCCAGAGCTTCAATCCTCTCCTTTTCTTCCCTCCTGCCATGTGTGACATGACAGCTACCTCCATTATGTATGTTGGTAAGTAGCCACAGTCTGTATCTATTAAATAAAGAAAGAAATACTGTCAGCTTATTTAAGGTGGTCCTGTGTTGTTGTTATTGTTGTGTGCTTCCACAGTATGTAGTAATATGCAGTCAACGGAAAAGACATTACTTATTTATTAGAGGTACTTTCAGATAGAAGTTGTTTTTCTTAATGTTACTTTCATCTTAATTAGACAGTATGAATTGTGTGTTTATGTGTCATGCAAAAACTAAAGTCTTAATTTCTGGATCACAAATCTCACAGATTAACTTCTGGCATTGTCAGGAATTCAGCCACATTTAAACTTCAGATGGTAATTTGTGTATCTATCCTATTTAAATCTTTCTGCAGCACTCAACATGACAAGTGCCTCCAGCTTCCAGATGCTTCGTGGAGCTGTCATCATCTTCACTGGTCTTCTTTCAGTGGCTTTTCTGGGCCGTCGCTTGGCACTCAATCAGTGGCTCGGCATCATGATAACCATCCTGGGCCTGGTGATAGTGGGCCTTGCCGACTTCGTTAGTGGACACAAAGATGACTCACACAAACTAAGCGACGTCCTCACTGGTAAGAGGTTTTTATTCCCCATGGTAATTAATATACAGTCATGGAAAAAATGATTAGGCCACCCTTGTTTTCTTCAATTTCTGGTTCATTTTAATGCCTGGTACAACTAAAGGTACATTTGTTTGGACAAATATAATGATAACAATTCAGTTGAATTGAACAACATAGGATGAAACACCTGTTCTAACTCTACAGCTCTGCTACAACATAAATCTACACAGAGAATCCGATGGGTTTGTTTTTTATAGCAATAAATGAATCACTGCTACTCTCCTCTGTCCTGCAGGAGACCTTCTGATCATCATGGCTCAAGTCATTGTTTCAGTGCAGATGGTCTTGGAGGAAAAGTTTGTCTATAAACATGATGTCCATCCTCTTCGGGCAGTCGGAACTGAAGGTAAAGCAGTTTTCGATCTGCTGTCTGTTTTCATCTGCATTCTCGTAACACATAAACTAATTAGAGCCAATTCCCTGAGTTATCAGTGTTGAAAGAAATCAATAATGAGAAATGCAGAAGTTCAACACTAAAATAATACAAGAACAGTTAGTTTCAACATTGTTTTCCAATAGATAAGAGTATTTAAATATATGTATGTAAGTCTGGTCACTGTACAGCAGATACAAAAGAGAAAGTAGTACTGAAAAACGAATACAGAATCTTTCTCCACAGTCTGGCAATGATTCCATTTGGTATTGTATCCCCTCTATTGTATATTATAACTGCAGGGTTACATCCTAGACAGGACACAGGTCAGTCATAGGGCTGATACATAGTGACAGACAACCACTCACACTTACATTTTCAACTACAGATCAGAATCAGTTAACCTAGCCTGCCCGTCCTTAGACTGTGGGAAGAAACCAGAGTACCTGCAAGAACATACAGACTGACAGATTCAAACCCAGAACCAATAACACTCAGTTTGTTAGAGCACCAATAAATGGCTTAAAATTAACTATGGATATCAAATGATTACGTGAAATGGTTTCACTTGTAGTGAAAAGCCCTCATATTATTAACACCTGACTATGCAGTTGCTCTCAGCTTCATGGACCTTTTTAGAATCGTTCGACTTGCTGATTTGGTCTTACTGCCCGCAACTCAACTGTTGTTGTTTATTCACTGTCACTGCTCCCATTCACTCAGTTTAGGCACCGCAGGTGTCTAGAACCCACTGTATGCAACTTACTTAGCCCCCAAATAGCAGTAGGACACAACAGAATAATAAATGTAACTCAATATTTGGCAGCTAAAGAACCAAATATTTTTCTTAGCAGTATGTGGAGAGCAAAGATTATGCTTAAAAAAAGAAAATAAAAAGATGAAAATTATGTTTACCAGGCAGCAAGACTCCAAATGAAGGACAATGTTAGTCTATAACTGTTGCATGTGTAAACAACCAGCTGTTTGCTAACAATGTGTGCAAGTGGCTCACAAACTGGGGTTGGTGCTAAAACAGTTCATCAACTTCAAATTAAAATCACAGTTAGAAAGTGTACAGCAGGCATTTGCAAGGTTACAATTTAGAACACATGAATTTATTTAATTTGAGCCAACTGGAACTTCAAGGGTTTGTATATGCTTGCCAGTTGATCACTATATTGATCATTGTTTATTACGTGCTTTATTACTGTTCGACTGATATAAGCCTAGTCTCTATATGTATACTCCCTCTTCTCCCTAAAAACTCGAGTCAAGTCTTGTTTATGACAGTCACACTTGAGATGGTGTCTGATGTGGTCATATCTGCCAGATAAATTGAAATAAGATATTTTCACTACATTGTTTAGCCCTAGCTGGTACCCAAACCATGATTTGCAAAATATATCTGAAAACAAGAAAATGTGTTTTTGCCAGCTAAAGTATTTTTTTCAGCCTTTCCTCTAATCTTTGGTTATGCCTTGTAAATAACTTGATGATTTTATAGTGAGGTAGTCACTCTTCGATTGTAAATATGCAGATGGTGACGTAGGCTTGTCAGGAGACTTGATTGAAGTGGTCGGAAACTACTGTAGGTCAGATTAAACACTGTTTTCTATTCCCAGGTTTCTTTGGTTTCGTCGTCCTAACGCTGCTGCTGATCCCCATGTACTTCATCCATGTTGGAAACTTCAGTGACAATCCTCGGCATGTCCTTGAGGATGCGCTAGATGCCTTCTGTCAGATCGGACACCAGCCACTTATTGTGTTGGCTCTGCTGGGCAACACAGTCAGCATCGCCTTCTTCAACTTCGCTGGGATCAGCGTCACTAAAGAGATCAGCGCCACCACCCGTATGGTGCTGGACAGCCTGCGTACACTGGTCATCTGGGCAGTGAGTCTGGCGTTGGGTTGGGAAGACTTCCACGGCCTGCAGGTCCTGGGCTTCTTGGTGTTGCTTCTGGGTACATCGGTCTACAATGGACTGCACCGCCCCCTGTTGGCCAGGATACCATGCTGCGCTTGGATGGTGACTGTAGATGAGGAGGGCAGCCCTGAAGAAACAGAGAGACTTTTTGGTGAGGGCAGGGTGGAGGCCAATGGAGACCACTAGAACTTCCACATAGACAGCTTCCCACTGTAACAGACTGCCTTTCAATGGCACTGCACCTTTCAAGGATGCTGTCAGTTATCTGTTAGTCACTTTTTAATCAACACCTCAGATTTTAACTGACCTCTCATAATATTGTAAAATGTGGAAGTGTGAAAACTTTTGGGGGAAATTTGCTTATTTGCTTTCTTGCCAGGAGTTAGGTGAGGTGATTAATACCACTGTCATATATGTACACTAAATATGAAGCTGGAGATTGTTAGCTTAGCTGGGCACAAAGACTGGAAACAACACAAAGCAGCTACGCTGGATTTGTCCAAATGTAACTAAATCTGAGGAACTCTCAACAATATAACCAGCATGAAACCACAATGTGTTGTTTTAACACTTTTAGTTGGACGAAAATAAACAAGACATAGTTTAATAGTAATTTGTAAATTTTAGAGGTGCTAGTAGGCAGATCTTGTTTTCTGACAAGCTAGCTGTTTCCCTATACCCAGTTTTATGCTAAGCTAAGTAAAATTGCTGGTTCTATCTACACACTGTATTTACTGGACAGACATGAGTGTTATTAATCTTTGTAAGCTTATATCCCAAAATGTCAGAACTTTTAAGAAAAGGATGATTAGAAGGGCGGCTGGGAGGACAGGTTTTTACGGGATTTCTTTAATTTAAAGATGATTTTTTAATTTTATTTTTAGTCATTCTGAATCAATACAAAAACACTTTCTTCAAGAGATGGACCATTGTCACATTGTTTCTAGTAATTATTTGAATATTTGTTTAAGTGATTCTTTATGCATCTTTTTTCGTTGTGATCTTAAGGATAATGGTACCAAGTGTGCAGTTTATTTGATTGTGCCAAAATGTTTGTGCACTGAATTTACTTGCTGGTCTTTGCACTACAGTGGTATTTAACATTTCTTTGGTAAGAAAAAAAATGTTTTTAAAGAAATATCTGTATATTTGCTCTCTGTCCCACAATTGCATTTGTAAAGATGGACATGTATCAACAGGTCAAAGCTCTACACCACGTGATTTGCACTTGTTTTTGTAAATCCTACTTTTTTTGCTCTGTTCGGTTATCCAAACCGTTGACGTTAATGTACAGTAAGAAAAAGGGAACTACTGCTACTATCAAAAAACAACATAAATGGGATAAATGTCAAATATTCTCTGACTGTAATGGTGTGAAGATCTACTGCTTCTGTTTTTTGTAATAATGAGAATTGTGTTTTGACAATTGGCCAAATTGACACATTTTAAAATGTCACCAGTTTTAAAGTTTTTGTATATTGTACAGACCAAACAGTTACTTAGAAACAATCAACAGATCAATCAGTAAAGAAAATGACCTTAACTTGCAGCTTCAGTTGTAGTTTTGGATCTTAATATTGCAATAAGGAATGATAAGTAATGATTTGGGATATTCTAAGCAATTTTAAATTATTTAAGAATCAATAGAAAACATAACACCTAATTTTCTATAACCTGCAACCTTTATCTCATAGTTGTACAAAACACTTTGATTCTTATTTAGTGAAAATTTAGACATGAAAATGTAGCACAAGTCGGTCATTATAGTTGTATCAGTGTCAGTAAAAGGCTCTAATGGCACCCACACCAGCAGCTGACACCTGCTTTCACTTTCTGAGTCAAGCCAACACCCCTCCGAGTAACCATTCTACTAAATGGAGGTCGTAGGTTGAACCCAGGAATCCCCAGAGGTCTGTACATGTGATCACTTTCAACTTCATGCAAAAGGGTTGAAGAAAATATATAGTGATTTTTTTAATAGTCAGCTATTCATCTCATTTTACTTATCAAATTGATCAAAAGTTGTTTCAAACTGGTGTCATGAACCTGAGAGTGAGTTCAATAGTTCCCTTGACCTGGAACCGCTTTGGGAAAAGGTAGAACATGAGATTCACAGCTGACATATATCTCCAGAAATTATTTGATGCAATCATAGCAATAAGGAGCAGAATCTCAAGAGAATGTTTCTAACATGTTAAGGAATCCATGCCACTGAGTTGGTTTTGAGAGCAAATGGACTCTAGCATTGCACATTCATTAAGTTTTTTTTTTTTTTTTTTAAGTAGGTAAAGACAGGCATTTGACATTGAATGATTTAAATTTATCTACAATAAGTTCCAAAAGCCTAAGACAGCATTGATAATCTGTCATATTTTCTAAAGTTTTAGCATTTAGAGATATATTTAAAGCAAAAGCTGACATGTCAAATGAAAAAAACAACACATATATTTCAGATTCTGCATTATTATTCTGCCAGCAGTCGAACTGAGGCTAATTAATAATACTGACCATGTTTACCTCTTTGCACAAAAAGTCAGATTTCCTGAAGTTGTAGCTTCTAATGATTTCCATTTGATCTGCTTATTAGAGGCTTGTCCAACTAAATCAACATCATTGTTTTGTTAGAAATATAACTGTTCCTCAAGTTTCCAGCAGAACATCACCTATAAAGTAGCTTTGTGATAGTGGGAAACATGGCACTAAGTCAAAGCTTTTAGTCAGGGTGTTATTCTGTGCAAAGAGATTTCTCACCATCACATCACGGCTAAACTGAAGTTTTCTGAGGAGGCAGTGCATGGCACTCTAGAACACTGTGGAAACTGGTTCAGTGTTATCCAAAGTGTAATCAGGTAGGCATAAAGTGATCGCGCCACGACAAGATCAATGTATCAGGCCTTGTTCAGTGAGAACAAGGCACTGAATTGACTCCATCCCAACCCAAACTCTCACATGTCCCAATAATGTGTCTTCCAATTTTCAACACAAAATACCACAAGGATCATATATTTTATCATGACAACATTCGCTCCTGGTTTTAGCCCTGTTCTAGTCACACATACTTAGACCAATCTTCACAGCACTGAGATAGTGCGGCTGGGCAGCACCTCATTGTCATTCTGCTGTAGGTGGAAAAATGTTCTGGCATATTTGAATTTCTGTAAACCCATTAGTGATCTTGACCCAGGATGTACCAACAGTGACCCTTCAAAACAGCAACAGAGGAATTGTTTTGGTGAAACATTAGTGCACAGGGAGGTGAACGCTGCTGTTAACATGGCTTATTCACCAAAAGAACCAAGCAAGCCTGTCTTATTGTATGAAAAACTTGTCATATACAGGTTGCTGCTCAGAGGTTGTTGTTGTTTCCTCTAGTGAAGGGGATTTTGAAAACAGCAACAAAAAGTAATGTTCAGTTTCAGTCTGACCAAGATCACGTCTGATGTCAGTGTGAACCGGCTACTGACCAATCAGTTGTCTTGGAACAGGGCATCAGTATTAGGCAAAGTGAGATTTCAAGATTCAAGATGAGCTTTATTTGTCACATACACATTTATACACGGTACAATGTGCAGTGAAATGTGTTTTGTACCAGCATCCAGTTTCAATCAAAAAGAAAAAAAAGAAAAAGAAAAAAAAAGGGTTCAAGAATATACTTTATGTGTATACATATACATACACATAAATAAATCAAATAAACAAAGCAAATGGGACTGTTACCTTACATAAGGTGCATGTGTAAAGGTGTAACAGGTGCCTGGTTGTATTGCACAGAGGCTGCACTGTCAGTACTGCGACCGCACCGATGGCACCGCAGACTGTTTACAGCATTTGTTTCTCGACAGCACCACCTACCGCAATGAATGATCAGCAAAGTGCACGATTTATGGTTTTAAAGCAGTATTTCACTAAAAATATAATTGGAATTTAAAACATTTATTTAAGTATTCCACACAAAGTACTACTTTATGTCGAAGTACCTACAATTTTAAAGGTTTATTCCACTCAAATAGTGCTTTTTACCAACAACTTAAGGTTTGAAAGGGTTATTCAACTCAAAATACTACTTATTACAATAATTATAAGAACTTGGTTGCTAAGACTTGCATTTTGACAAAATATGTAATTATCATACTTGTGTCATTACGGGGTAAAATAATGGAAGCATATGCTGTGGCCTTTGTAGTGATTAGATCTCAAACAGGATGGTTTGAAAGAGGCGATACACAAGGACAACTCTGGAGGTAGATATGTATTTATTCATTTATTTTATACAATAACATAAAAGCAACATTCCCCCACCTACTGACTGAATTGTCTCCCTTCTTTCTTCAACCTTTTTCCACCTCTCTGCAAAACTCCTTCACTTCACTGAAACAACATAGACACCATTATTACTGCTGAGCTGACAGAAATATTGACAGAATATGACAGAGAACCAGTTTGCATAACAGCAGGGGCTCTGCTAAGAGGGATGCAGCCAGCATTAATACACCTCTGCTTTCTCTACTATGACAAGTTCAAATGTAGTGAAAAACCATCCAAATTATGAACAGATTAAAACTGTAAAACAATGAGTGTTAAACAAGCATTCCCATGAAGGTTGCTGCTGCTTCATGTAGTGACAGTGATCGTTTCAGCATGCTTCTATCATCTAATAAAGTACTCATTAATATAGTGGCTAAATGATCATCATTGGAGCTAAACTGTCGAAATCTCACTGTGACTCCATTAAGCACATAAGAAAACAAGCTAAGAGTTGGCTTTGCAGCAGCTTTCATCAGATAAAACTTGACCGTTTGCAGTGTTTGACTTAAAACAGTTCGTTTCTCACAGTTTGGCAGCGTAACAGTAGCTTTGCTGCGTAAATGAAGACATCAGAAAATTAACGTGAAACAAATAAATCAGTACTCACGCTGCGACTGTCGTCTATAAATGCTGTTACTTCCTTTAGCACACCATGATCCTGGAAGGTCTGCAGACTCAGCCCGCTCCAGGGCGCTGCTGGTGCTGGCCTGCTCAGCAGCAGCGGCCCCTGGTCGCTGGATGGCGGCGTGTTGCTGTAAAACGGTGTGTGCTTGACTGACTGTGTGTGGCTCTGAGGGCATCCTACCGCTACAACAGCTCTGACCCGTGAAGTCATGAACACACGACGTGTCTGGCACCGACCCCGTGGGTTCTGTGTGTTGTCAGGATGACAATGATGCAACAACAGCGAACCAATAAACGACGTGCAGAGAAAGCAATGGACTGCACTCATTCACCCATCATGCAGATTTGTAGGAAGCGTTTTGCTTTAAAACGCCATTGTTATGTTTGACATAAGTGAAGTGTTGTGCAACAAACAATATAAGCCATTTTTGCACAGCAGCAAATAAAACACATGAACTATGTGGGGGACGTGTATAGAAGCAGTGCAGAAGACAGCATGGAGAAATATCTCCACTTAATGGCCAAATGAATCACGTGACAGATAGAAAACTAGATAAGAACTCTCAGTTTGTTCTATTTTAAACAGTTATTTTTGTTTCTAGCTTTGTCCTTCCACTGCAGAAGTTCATCTGTCAGGCTCCACCTCTGTTCCTTACATTTACAGCTCCACAGGAATCTGTGGGTCTCCTCGCACAAACTGCATTGCTGCTTCGCTTTTGTCATGTTTGAAGAGGATCAAACTAAGAATAGAAATACTTTATTGATCCCCAAAGGTAATTCTGTAGACTTGCGCTGCTGTTTGGAGTTTCTCGGCTGATGAATCGTGTTTTTCCACTGCAGCATTAAACACCAGCGGGTTCGTTTGACCGGGATGTGAAGTATTGAAGCAGAGATGCTCTGTTCTGCATCAGGCCACCAGCCTCCAATGCATCCACTGATAGATGACTATACCAAGTCTTTTAAAATCCTTTTTCAAATGTCAGTGTTTTAACATATTTATGAATGGTCTTTTTCAACCAGGTATTCATTGCAAAATAAAATCGCTGGCTTTCTTAAAACTAGTAAAAATAAATTCTAAAAAATGTATTTCTTATTATCTGGTATTTTTTGTGTTTAATGACTGCAGACTGTCCGATTGTTGCAATAAAAAAATATGTAATAAGTGGAATTATCCTTTCATTTAATTTAGTTAAGAATAAGCTACATATCCACCGGATTGAGCTCCTCATAGCTTTGCTCCACAGCAGGCCTAATGGTTTGTTTTAATGACCTTTTGTGTGTCTCTTCCCTGCTGCTCAGCTCGGAGCAGGCCGCATGTGATTTAACTGTGTGTACATTAGCACACTGAAGCTGTAGACAGCCCCAACCTCCACACAACAGATGACTTTAATCGGTTTTAATGTAAACAGTTGGTTTTACTCGAGGCACCGAGTCACCATCATATTTAAAAGCTTCCATTAAAGCAGGCCCTTAGCTTGTTTAGAGCGGAGAGCAGCCTGTGGTGAGTGTGATTAGTCTAGCACTCCATGTCCAGCTGATGAGCCTTCATGCTCTGACCAGCAGTCCGACACCACGGAGGGAAACACAGGGCTGTGTTGGGATTAGCTCTCCTCACTCGGTCTCTCCTATGATCTGAATTTATTTTAAGCTGCTCAACCTCCCACATAAGGGCCGAAAGGTGGATCAGTGGTTAGCATCATTGCCTCACAGCAAGAAGGTTGCTGGTTCGCGTCTTTCTGTGTGGAGTTTGCATGTTCTCCCCGTGCAGCGTGGGTTCTCTCCGGGTTCTCTGGCTTCCTCCCACACGGTCCAAAAACATGTTGAGGTTAATTGGTGATTGTCCATAGGTGTGAATGTGAGTGTGCTTGGTTGTCTGTCTCTAAGTGTAGCCCTGTGATAGACTGGTGACCTGTCCAGGGTGTCCCCTGCCTTCGCCCTAAGTCAGCTGGGATAGGCTCCAGCCCCCCCGCAACCCTAATGAGGATTAAGCGGTGTATAGATAATGGATGGATGGATGGATGTTTCCCACATTAGACCCTGTTTTGAAGTGAAGTTAAAGAAAACCTGTGTCATTTGGGTCATTGTTAAGTTATTATTATTTAAAAACCACTCAAAGAGTGCATTTACAGTCAGTTATAGTATCAACATTAATTTGCAAGTCAATACTTTTGAACACTGAAACATTAATAGATAGATAGACACATAAATGTATCCCAAAGTGGACAGCTGTGTCTAACCCTGGTCTCTCAGTGTTCACAGCCATTTTGTTGGGTTGGGCTGTTTGATTATTTCTCACTTCTCCAGTTTGGGTCTTAACAAGGAGTAGCCTGGTAGGATTTCTGCTGCAGACTTATACATTTTATAGGCTAACATTGGACTGGGATTGCGTTCATGTGTAAGTATTCCTCACTTTAATGTTGCAGTGACATTTTACTTAATCAGAATGTATTTGTTAGTTACATTAATCTGAATCTACAAAGTCTATCAGATAGATAAACTATAAAAAGCGCAACATGTGCCTCTTTAAAACAGTTATGTAAAGTGCAAGTCAGAACTTTAATCTAATGTAAATCGCTGACATAGATTCATAGAAATACATATTTCAGCAGTGAAGCTTGCACTTATTTATTTATTTTTTATTACTTTCAAAAAATGTCATATTTAGACACAGTCACATTGAAATTATTGGGTTGTTTGTTGATTAATAATTCCCTGCTGGAGGAGGCAGCTGCCGTCTTAAACATCAGAAAACAATGAAAATGATGAAGGTTATGTCTTCAAATATTTTGTTTTTTCAGGACAGCAGGGGAAAAACAACTAAATGTATTTATTTTACACCAACGTTATAACAAAGAAAAGCAACGAAGCCTGTCTCCTTGGTGTTTGGAATCCTAAAGATTAATTGATTATTAAAGTTTACCAGTTTTAACAACTGCTCAAAATGAAAACTGCACATGTTTAAAAAAAAAAAAAAAAAAATCATAGAACGAAAGGAGAGAGCATGTAGTCACTGGGGGGAGCTGCTTGTACATTCAAGGGCTCAGTGTGCTTAATAAGGTTTCACAGGATGTCTCTGTTCTAATCTGGTTCTATTGTATACATTCATATGCTGTTGATGGGCTCTGTATTTAGTCTAAAAAAAACTGATCCTAACTGTTTTGGTATTTTTGTGGTTGTGCATCAACACAAACATCCACAGCTGAAGATTTATCTGATTACCTGTCATCTGTACGATTTATTGGAATATTTCTAATACAGTGCTGTATTTGAGCAATGCTTGTTTTTTGTTTTTTTTTTGTTTTTTTTTTCTTTCTCTAAAATCTGTGCCTGGGATGTGTTCAGGGTCACATAAACGCAACAGTCCTGTTTCAAGCTGACGCCTTTTTTCTCTGTATTCTCTGTGGAAAGGATGGCAGCGTGCCGTACAGAAGGCTGTGTACAAATGGCCCAGGTCCCATTAAATCTGCGAAGTTCCTTCCCGGGGCAAACATTACCAGAAATAGTAATCCTAGCTTGAGCTGGAGCCTGACGAGAGGGGAGCAATAAGACCCTGTGTAATGATGGAAATCAGTTAATTGTGTCCAGCAACATGTGATCCAGCAGAGACACAGGCCGAGCTGCTCATTCACTTCTCCTCCACTTGATAGGGCTTCCTGAAAAATACACAGCGAGCAATCAGTCACAGACAATAGGCTCCGTCACATTAAACGTGTAAGTGTAAGTAGTCAACAGCAACTGTTTCCATCCAGATGGTTCGACATTTTGTTTCCATGTGGTCTGTTAAAGCTCTAATTGGCCTCCGTGCAGTGAAGTGATGCTGCAGCCTCCTCCGCTCACCAGACATCTCCCCTCACCGTCTGACCGCACCAACACGTTTTCATTAGTCTCAATGACTTGTTATTTTTGCCAATTTTTTTTAATATAACGAGTGAGTTGTTACACATTTATCGAAAATTACACTTCCTGCACTTTTTTGTATTATATATATGTGTGTGTGTGTGTGTGTGTGTGTGTGTGTGTGTGTGTGTGTGTGTGTGTGTGTGTGTGTACAGTTTATGTGTATATGTAAAGAACTACATTTGGAAGTTTGAAATAGAACCATGTAGTTAAATCAGATTTTAATGTAAATTCTAAAACAGTAAAGTAGTTAATGACGCGGTCTCACGCGGCGTGAATTTAAAACATCTCCGACTTTTATTAAATTAGAGGACTTGGCTAAGTCCTCTACTTCAGCGCGTCGAGCAGAACCTACGAACCTATGAAGGCACACCAGCAGTGGAAAAACACGGTCAGGAAATCCGTTGGCTATGAGATGAGGAACAGTGTATACCAATGACAAAAATTCTGTGTACTTCAGACAAAGACAAATACTTATTTTAGACTGACACTAACCCTGCATTTTTTCTCTCTCGTTCCGGACAGGTTCAAGCCTTACGTCCTCTCACGTACAGTCTCTTAACCAAAGACAGGAGTCGCTGGCACCGCAGTAATCCCACCTGCCATCATTTATACTGCTCCATGGAGAACTGGCTCAGGAAAGGGATTTAAAGGTAAATAATAGCATCCAGCAGGGCTCTGGCACAAGAAGTACTATTTCAGTTTTTACTGGTGATTTGCAGATTTATTGTATATTTTTTTAGAGTATAAAGTTGTCAGACCCGAACCTTAAAATGGTTGTAATACATTGCATTTCATGTTTATTATTGGATGTGTTTACACTTATAGGCTTATTGCTTTTACTGACTTTTTGGGACACATAATGAAAATCTGTGTGCACAGTTATTAAAAAATAAAATAAGGTGTTTGTTTGTTTGTTTGTTTGTTTTACACAAAACAGAGGAAACAGAATTTGAGGAAATTACAACATGTGGTCCTCTGATGTATTTGAAATCCATCTGGTGTGTGTCATGCACTTCTTTCTTTAAACTCAGTTTCTATTATTACTAATCATTCGACATAAACCAAAGAAGTAATTATGTTTATCATAATCTAGCTACAAAAAATAATCATAAAAAAAAGAAAAGAAAAAGACGTTATACATTAAAGTTCATGTAGTTGCTTCCAGTGGCACAGTTTCTGCAGTGTGTGTGTGTGTGTGAAGGCTCATTTCAGGCTGTTTTCTGTCATGTTTACCACTCAAAAGCTCATCAGCACCTGAAATAACTCGAGGCATGCTGCGCCTGCTACATCCTCTTCCCTAGATTGTTTTGACTGCATGATGGAGGGCAAACGTTAAATGTCATTTCTAATTTTAACCCGGAAAAGTGTCACTCGAAAACATCATGATAGCAGGCAGTCAGGGTCATCGGCCCTTCCGCCTGCATGAATCAAAACTAAATGAATGCGGGCTTCAGAAGCCATTGTTTGAACACATGCAAGAGAAACATGCGATCGGAGGGTTTGAGGAAGGAGGAGGGAACCCAAACACTTTCAGGACACGTTAGTGTCAGGACAGCTCGTTTTATTTGACCGTTAAAAATAGACAAAGTATATGAACTCACACTTACTCACAACAAGCTGCTGTAAAAGCTGATATTATTATTACATATACAAAAATGTATTGTTGTCGGTCAACAGAGCCACTCGGTGATAAAACGTGTGACTGGCCCGGGCCCAGCCTGTGAATCTTGAGGGGCCTTGCGGATGAAGTATCGCCTCTGAAGTTAATTGTGTTTTCGTTTTCGAGGGGAATAGATTTCCTCTGTTTATTATGAGCATGGGGACGGATTTGCGTCACCGTGCAACTTGCAGGTTGAGATAAAGTTGCACAAATATTGAAAAAGGGAAGTTCTAACAGTCATTATAAAGTCGTCGTCCTACCGCCCCCCTGCTCCGGAAGAAATAAGGATTTCTGCTGTATCCTAAAATACTAAAACGGGTTCTATTTTAGGGCCAAATCTAGCAAGCATATCCGCTCATTTAACACGAATCACAGCCCATCAAAAACAGGATGAATCTGAGCTCGTAGAGACTCTCCTGGGCCCGGGGTACAGGATTTGTACAGCTTATTATTAAATAGCTATTCGAAGTGGCTGTGTAGCCGATATTTCAATTTGATTTTCCTTTTTTTACTATTTAAAGCTGACAGATCAAAGACTTTCTTGCAAATATGTAAAAGCCCTGTATACTTGTAGATTAATGTTCATCAATTTCCAAAAAGAGGATTCTAAATTAACACAAGTCCCTGCGTAATGATTGTTTCATGCGCGGCCATGTGGGTGAGGATGAGGTTCTCTTTAAGTGATCAATCCATCATCTCAGGATTAAATTTGTTCCAAAGTGTCCTTGTCATGTGTGTGTGAGCGAGATACTATGTTACACATCATCTTCATTTGCAGGGTGTGATGCGAGCAAATGCAAAACATCCATTGGCTCAGAAAGCAACCAATCAGTGTCAGCGGAGGAACTTCGGAGTGGAGCTGCAGGGTTTGGATTTCAGAGTTGGGCGATTTTGGCACTTACATAAAGAGGACGGTCATCTATCCTCCTAAAACGCTACCCGTGTTTTTTACATGCCCGTCCTTTTATACACTCTTCTGAGAAACAATACGACGCATTAGAAGGTGGCTACACGGAAAAGATGTACACGGCTGGGCTCAATCCGTTTTATGCATCAAATTTTAGCCTCTGGTCTGCTTACTGCGCTGGAGGCTTCGCTGTGGATACAATGAAGAAACCCTCATTTTGCATCGCAGACATTTTGCAGGCTGGAGATGCGGAGAACATCCCGGGATCGTCGGCCCTCATGGTGCACATGGGACACCACCACCGCGCTCAGCAGGCGCACTCCGGCAGCTCTCCGCTGCGCCCGTCTCCCGTGGCGCCGGAGCCGTCAGTGTATGGAGCCAGGATGAGTCCGGCGTCTCCGTACCACAGACACGGACTACAACTAACGTCAGTCTCCAGAACGGCATTTAACTCACAGCAAGCGCCCCCGCCTTCAAGCAAAGATCTCAAGTTTGGAATCGATCGGATATTGTCTACGGACTTTGATCCAAAATGCAAAGAAAAGTCGTCGCTAAGAGGTGAGCAGAGAGATTTTATTACATTAAAAATCCCCCCAAAATATGCGGTGTTTCTAGACAAGCTTCATGTCCTACCAGCGACAAATAAAACATTAAACAGGGATGTGATTTATGCTCTTAGTATATTTTATATCAAGTAGTCAAAACAAGACAAGCTCATGTACAAAGTTCAGAAACTGAAAGCAACAAACCAGAAGCAACTGTTAACTTTACACTTGTCCAGTCAGTTTGTCCATACACTGACAGACTTGTTCCACCGCAGATAGTCTTCAATTGTGGGGCTATCCTCGCCTCTCTTGGACCCTAACAAGAGGTCAGAGGTCAGGATCAGCTACAAACAGCAACACTGCTGGGAGTTAGTTCAAAGCTCTACCAAAGAAGCCATGCAGCCTGTAAATTTAAAGCAGCCTCCCTCTCTCTGTTCTTGAGGCCATCTTTGCCCCCCAAAAGCGGACTCAGTTGTAGTCTTCTTGCAGGTTGCTTGTGTGTCACTGCGATAACTCTTTGCTGACTGAAGCCCATCATGTCTCGCTTTGAAACAGATCTCACGTCCATCGTTAGCTCGAACCGTCAGTCAGGCATCCACGTCCCCGTTCAGCCTCCGGCCAGCCAGTACTTCTCCTCCATAGACCCGGGGATGAGCGACGCGTCCGCCATGATGAGTTCACTAGGCAGCAGCAGCAGCAGACAATCAGGCCAGCATCAGTTTCAGGACACCTTCCCAGGTAGACATCACATGTAGGACTGTAGCAGACGGGAAATGGCCTCTGGTTTCAGGTGTGAGACAACTGCAGTGAATGTCCCTCTGATTGCTGGACTCTTTTTGCTTGAACTTCGTGTGCCCCTCGTGTCTTTTAGGTCCATATGCTGTCCTCACAAAAGACACAATGCCTCAGACGTACAAGAGGAAAAGGTCATGGTCGAGAGCAGTGTTCTCAAACCTGCAGAGGAAAGGACTCGAGAAGAGATTTGAAATACAGAAGTATGTCACCAAGCCAGACAGAAAACAACTGGCTGCCATGCTGGGGCTGACAGACGCTCAGGTAAGAGCTGGACTGACTCAGATGGATTTAGCATGTGCCTGTTGATTGTTTTTTTTTTTTTGCAGAATAAACAAATTATTTTATTTCCTGACCGAGTTTATTATTATTTGTTACATTTTACTCAGTGCAATCATCACTGGGGCATGTTTATGGAGCTGATGGAATTGTCTTGTAAGGTGCAGTAGTGGCTGTAACTGTAGTATCTACTGTATGCAGTGTGTGTTTTCTTAGAATGTAGACGCAGGAGGAGAGACCCATGATGAGGAATAAAACTAAAAATAACACACACTCACACACACACTCACACACACACACAGAGAGCCATTGTCAGGATTTGAGAAACACTGAGGCTCTGGACACATTTACCCCCTAAACATGTTTCCTGAAAACAAGAAGATTTCATATTTAGAATTTTTTTTTCTAATTGTTTTTTTTTCTCCTATCAATGTATTTTTGTTACGTTGAATAATGTTTTATAAGATATATGTTCAGTTAACTCCTAATTATCAAAATGACATACCAGATCTAATACCGCCATCTTCACCCTGCCAGTCTCTCAAAATACTGCAGACTGTAAAATAGCCACTATGTTTTTGGTTTTCACTGTTTATTGTACAGTTAACTCTACCTTGCTAAACTCTGTCCTCAGGTGTAGCTACTGAAGACGTGAAATGAAGTGAATGTGCTTTGTGTTCAGATTTAGAATCTTCAAAATGCTTGATTTTATATATATATTTACATATATATATACATTTAATTAAAAAAAAAAAAACACAAAAAAAAAACAACACAAAACAGAAACTATTTTTTTGCCACCAGCCTGCTTGATCCTTTGATAGATTTATAGGTTTATAGATTCCTTCAGGACAAAAACCTGAAATCCAACAATAATAATGAACAGGCTTAAGAGGCTGTGATCCAGGCCTTTCATTTAACATGAGCTTCATTACTGTATGTTGCAACCTGACTGACTCAGAGGCCTCCCAGTGTGGGCCAGATCGCCATGTTTTGTGCAACACTTCACCACTTTTTTTTTTCTTTTTTTTTTTTTTCTTTTTAAACTTTCATCAGAGTCAGGTAGTTTTCTAATGCCAGCGAAACTTCATGACATCAAGCAGCATGTCAGCATTAATGCCATAAAATAAAATGGAAACAGATTCTCTGTATTTCATAACTATTTTTGAGGAATGCCACATTTGCCACCGATTTTATTGCAGGCGGGCGACCTATTTCTTGTCATCTACTATGCTTTTTGTATTTGGACAAGTTTTGTCTGAGCTTGTAATAGGCCTCTCCCACATAAGCAATACCAACAGGACTTATTAAATGAACACTCTTGACCACTGGTTTGCCTTGAAGTATGAGTGTGTTGAGTGTAACCTATTATCATTATTATTATTATTATTATTATTTTAATCAAGTCAGATGAAAGAAGAAAAAAAAGAAAAAAGAAAATATTCAAAAGATGTGTTTTTGTCCATTTGCAAATGATGAGGAAAACCTAATGTACACGTTTTCTACAACAAATCGTGTCTTTGTGCTCAAGATATTTTTTTCTAAATTTATCTGGAAATGTAGGGAATATCTGAGGAAAGGATACACAAGAGCTGTGCAGAGAAGGATGCATTTAAATGTCGCTGATGGTTGTGTTTAGAACAAGTGTAAACGCTGCTTGGGTTTGTTTTCAGGTGAAGGTGTGGTTCCAGAATAGACGCATGAAGTGGAGACACTCCAAAGAGGCACAGGCTCAGAAAGACAAGGAGAAGGACGAGAAGTCGGAGAAAAGTCTGTGTGAGTCCGGCAGCAGGGATCCCAAAGAGCCGACTGAGTCCGAGTGCGAGAGCGAGGCCCGGAGCGAGTGTGAATCGGACGAGGCGCAGGAAGAAAAAGCTGATGGACACTTGGACGTTTCTGAGCTGAACAAGACGAGCGTGATCATGAACGGCAGCGGCCCGGCGAGCAGCGCGGAGGCAGCAGCGGCCACAGCCACGGACACAGCGGCCTCCCAGGAGCTAATATAGAGGCTGCCAGCTGATCTAGGTCATGAACAATAAGAACAAGAACAAGTCTGGTATTTTTGACAGAAAAACGACAGTGATGTCCAGACACGCGTGCAGAGGCTGTCGGTGCCCTCAACAGTCAGCTGCAGTGAAACAGGCTGAACACGGCGACGCCGGAGGCAGGAGCCACACCGGGTTCATCTGTTCATGTAACACGTAGTTTCAGCCCAGATACATACGGCCATCATGATGAATCCACTGGCTATTTAATGTAAAAGACGAACTTTTGGCCGTCTCCAGCTTACTGTCGTTTTTCTGTCAGTGTGCATCACGTTCTCCTCATGTGAAGGAAACATGCGATTGTGAATTGTTAGGCTATGAACCACTCGTTTCACGTTATAAATGAAATCTCACAACATCACGGCAGTGTTCATGTGTTTTTTGTTTTTGATGTATAGTTGTGCTATTTTGTTAATAATAATTTGCACTGATAATATTGTAAATAAAATGTTTTCTTACTTTGGAAATCATATTATTATTATTATTATTATTATTATTATTATTATTATTATTATTATTATTATTATTATTATTATTATTATTATTATTATTATTATTATTAAATTTGCAGTTAAAGCCGACAAAATAAAAACAAGACCAGCAGCTAAACTTGAATTAACGGAGAATCTGAAGGCACTGCATGCATTTATAAAAACACCAAAAAACGAAGGTAAATAGAAAAGTGGCCATAGCTGCTGTATAATAGGATTGGCTTAGTTCACGAGAATGAAATACACGACAATATAAATAAACGCAAACTGATAATAACATCCTTTCCATCTGTGCACCCAGCTTTCTCTTTATTTGGTCTGTAGTGCCTGATAAACGAATGATTGTTTTTGATCAGTTAAATGAAACATTTGGCAAAAACAACCCGTTTTCTTTCTTTCTTTCTTTTTCTTTCTTTCTTTTTTTTTTTTTTGTAAACGTGGATTGTCGTCATACAGCTCTGTGATAAATGTAGAAATCCTCAGGCCTCCTCCTATAAGTGCATTAATGTTTCTCGGTGAACTAAGTCTCTCCTCAGGACGCTGCGGCTCTGGCAGCGCAGAACAAGAGGGTAATTTATAGTTTGTGTACATTTACTGGCTCCAGAAAGCACTGACGACCCGGGGGAGTATATTTTATGCATCCAGACACAGATACAATCAACATCTTCTCCGTTTATAGTACTGCTCATAACCTCCACCTGCAGACACTTTCCAGGGTTAACATTCTACAGAGCTGCTGTTTCTGTTACGACTAACATAAGAGGACACTGCAGTGTTGAAATGTAATTTCCTAATCAGCCTTATCACGATGGCTAATGGTGACTGCTTAGAATGTGAAGGATAGAATAAATCCACATTATTGCAGAGCTCCAGTATTGTGCTCCATGTGCAGCACAATTAAACCAGATTAGGAGTATTTAATGACATGATGTCATGACACACTCCCCCGTTACACGTCTCGTCAGTCTCCTTGTGTCTGTGGGAGTAACTGTTTTCCACAACACTCCCATACATCTTGAAAGGACACCTCCTCTAACTCTTCTTCAAGTACTGAAATTCTTATCTAAATAATTGTATATGTCTTAACAAAGATCAATATCCATTTCAGTGTAGTCAATGTCAAGCTGCCTCATGGAAAATATTTTGATGCAAAAATTCATGACTCATCCAGAACCTTCCTTCTGAATAAGTATTTTCTGAAGTCAATTGCATCCCAGACAAAGAAAGCCATCAATAATTTGAAAAAAAAATTAAATAAATTATTGTCCATTAATCTGTAACAACCAAAGAGGTTTGTTGATGTAAAAAAAAAAAAAAAAAAGCCCAAAGGAATTTTATGGGAAAACAAGCTTGGTGCAGGGTGCACATAAAATAAATAACTATTGTATTGTTTTACAAAGCATCCTAGATACACTAAACAGTCTGATCCTGTCAGCATTGCCATATCCAGGACCTCAGAAATAATAAATCCAGAAATGCACCTCTTAATAGTTTAACCACACTCCAAAATAATAATAATAATAATAATAATAATAATAATAATAATAATAATAATAATAATAATAATAATAATAATAATAATAATAATAATAAAGGACTAGTCTAAAATCTTTTTTAAAGGTGTTTTTTGTTCCCATTTACCTGTTCAATGATATTTTCTCTACATTTTATTTCCTGACATGGATATATATCTATATATTACTTAGAGGGGGGAAAACATCCGTGATATTTTTTAAATGGACCCAATAGCTGTCAAATATTGTCAGCAAAACCCATATGTAACTTTTTAACTCAACTAATGACATGATCGCCGTGGTAGTTGTGTCTCTCTGTCAGTGTCGCTGAGTGTTGTAAAGTAACAAATACATTCATTCTGGTTCTGTACAATTTTGATTTGTACTTTACTGGAGTATTTTCACATTATGCCACACAGTAGTACACGATGTGATAACTTTAAAGCTGGAAGCTGTACACCAAAGATATAATGAACACTACTCTGAAATGCAGTCTTCTGTACGGTGAGAACTTTTACTTCTGGCAGTTTAAGAATGTTTTGATGCTAACACTTAGGTACCTTTACTAAAGTAAGATTTTTAGTGCAAGACTTCTACTTTAACAGAGTATTTATAAACTGTTGTGTTACTACTTTTACTTAAGTTAAAGATATGAGTACTTCTTCCACTGATACAGCTTTTACTTAAGTTTAATTTAAGAACAACATGAAATAAGCAACTATTTCATTGCATCGCAGAAGGAAAAAGAAACTCCACTGTGATCAGCTGGAACTATTTTGACTATTTTCTATACTTTTTGGCATTTCAGTATGTAATAATTCATGTACATCATAAAGCATGTCTATGAAAAAGAGTAAATATATCTGTGAAATAAAACTAGTGGAGTAAAAAGTACAATATTGCCTTCTGAAACACAGTGGGGCACAACTATATGGAAGCATAGACCGAAAATACTCCAGCGTAAGTGTCTCAAAATTGTAGGTAAGAACATTACTTGATTGACTCTGTTATTTTCCACTGCTGCACCTCTAAAACTAACACCTTGTCTAAACAAATTAAGACAGGAAAAACTTGATATAAAGTATTGTGGTGATGTAAAATAAATCCCCAGTCCTTTAGACTGCATTATACTCAGACAGGAATGTCAGAGCCCTTTGCTATTTGTTGTCATGTTAACAACAACATCATAGTGACTGACCCAAAAACCTGGCCCACCACAAACCCTTTCTACTATGGGGTCCACTTTCCTCTCCACCGGAAAGAGGACTGACCCCCTGAGAGCTGCAGTTTTTCCGTTTTAGCTTAGCATCTTGAATTTCACTTTTCATTTCCCCCTTCTGCCTGGCTGTACAGTATACCTGCCATCTTTTGTTTCTCTCCCATGCAACACATATTTTACCCTTAACTCCAGAACAACTTCTCATAAACTCACTTGGCATGATATGGTTAAGAAGTAGATGGCAGTTTTCTTAATCGTCACTCTTAATTCACGCTGGATGTGAAGTTGTCAGAATTATGATAGCCAGTTTCCATGGAAGGCAGTAAAAGCCTTAAGCACTTTATCAACCTAATATTAAGTGTTAACCGCTTGCGTATTAAATGTCTGGGTGGGTTGGGTCTTGAATATGCTTGAAAAGCTATAAATTACATTAGTATTTGCAAATGTACAATAACAATAACAATCCAAACGCTTAACATAATACTGAAAGGCCTTGATTTGTGAACTGCCCTAAGAATTTTATGAGCAAGATAGGAGAAAGTCCATCTGGCCTGTATTTAATGTCAGGCTTTACGCCTCCATTAAAAGCTGTCCTATATGTCCCTTATGGCAACCCAGGACAGGGCAATCTATAAAACAAACTAGCCTTGCAGATTTCACTAATATTTAACGCTTTGAAAAAGTAACTGTGTAAAACAAATTACCTTAGTGAGTGCAGACGAGGGAGGTTTCTGTCTGCAGTTGTTCAGGGATTAACGTGACTAAAAGCTGTGATGTCTCAAGTGCTTTGAGGCATTATCTGTGAGGTTGTTTGATCGGCCAGTGGAGATTTTTCCTACACTGCTGTAATGCATCAGTGGAGGCCTTCGAACCCATGGGCCTGCTGGAGGAAAGACAAGTAAAAAAGTTACACTTTAATTCGGCAAGTGTTTGACAAACTGCTGCTGAGGAAAGTGGCATACAAAAAGATGGAGGATTTCGTAAATATACTTCTTCCTTATTTCAGAAATGATACTCACACTGTCTTTAATTGTCATGATGAGAATCTACACTGATGTGAAAATCTCACAAATAGCTTACATTCATTTTCTATAGACAAGCAGGAGAGCTGTTCCAGTGTGATGTGGGAGGCTACAAGCCTCCTTTAAACATGGTGAGACTGTGGACCAGTATGTGCCTTTGGCCTCTGTGCTTGTTAACTGTGCCTCCTTGTCCCACATCGCTCAGCTGGTTTGCAGGGAGATCCCATGTTCAGAACCCACAGGGAGTCTAGTCACCCGATGATGTTGTTAAGTCACTTTTAGTCCACATGAAATTTGTGTATGTCATCTTTTGTTGTTGTTGTCTTTGTCTTTATTATTTGTCCTAATTATAGACTTTGAGATTACGCTGCCATCGCAGTATTGCTCTCCTTTCCAGTAATTCTACTTAATCACAGGGAACCCCCATACCCTTTGTATTACAAATGGTTTTGACCTACTTTCACTTTGGAGTGGTCCTTCCTGGCTGCCGTGCTGTTTGTAATTGAACCTTTGAAGCTGTGCAGTGTTATTACTGTGGTTTTATGATAGGAATTGATTCACTTGCAGTGCTGTGTGTTTGGGCTGCGGGGTAACTGCATGTTCTCAAGAGGTGTTGCCTACCATTAGCTACTGCTTAGGACTGTCCTCATTGTTTTTAATGAGTTGAGTCTCAAATAAAGCATTAAATATTTTTGTACTCCAACCTATGTTTGGTGAACATTTCCTGGTCTCTGAACCATACCATGTTAGCAAGGCTGGTGACAACATTAAACTACGACAGTCATAATAATAGAGGAAATAAAGGTTAATTACAGTATTTTACAAACTGATCATATGTTTGAAATGTACTTGAGGCTTCATAAGTAGAGGCCGACATTCTGCACACAGAATGGCCTCTATTAGATGTTATGTTATTATATGTTCTACATGTTTATATATGATGTTAGTTTGGTATTATTACTAATATGTTAGCATGTGAACAGTATTTTAGCATTTGTACTCGGTCAAAGTTGAATGCCAATTTTAATTATATGAAGATAAAATGGACCCAGTTTGGGTTGATATGACTAGCTTTGTGCTGACCCAGTGTTAGTGTTGTTGTTGTTTTAATTACTGTGGTTATTTATGGAAGCCACTTTTGACCGAGTGTTAGCACAATAAGCTCACCTGTTTCGCTTACTGTTAATTGTAAAAAAAAAAAACCAAAAAAACCTAACAAACAAA